AACTAGATCTTTAAGGTCCCTTCCAACTCTAACCATTCTATGATTCTATGAATTCTTTACACCCCTGGTGACTGAGAACAGTTCTTTCTGCCGAAACGTCACATTTGGCATGGCCATGTGGTCCTTTTCCCTTCCTGGTGCCATGGCCACAGTATCCGGGCACACGGATCCACTCAGGTCCCCGATACCAAACAAAAAGTGGTCATTCCCATTTCATTGAGGAAGAAGATGCTGTGTCTGATGGGTGGGTCTGATTTATTAAAGGACTCCGCGCAGGTGCATGTGTGAAGCCTTGAGGAGTCTGCTCACAAAGAGCATCCAGCATGGCTCAAATGGAGCCACAGATTTGGGATTCCCCCAGTTTCACGGTCTCCAGGTGCAAGTCCATCAGGACTGAGCTCTACCTGCTTTCAATAGCACGACACCAAAAAGCTCCCACCTCAGCCAGCGCCGTGCAGCCCAATCCCACAAGAAATGAGGGGGTTTGGGCTCCATCTTCTGTGTTTCCAGGTCTCCCTCTAGCTGAACCATAGCCAATAAAGGGAAACAGAGCATCCAGGAGGAGAAACAAAGCTGATGGATGCCCGTGCACAGGCTACTGCCTCCAGAGCTGCAGGTTACACACATACACATGTGTGTTTGTGCCGGGAGCCCTCTCGTGGCTGCTGCAACAAAGGTTGTTCCAGCTTCGTGATTCAGCGGGGTGGTAATTTGCAGAGGCAGCCGGGAGACAGCTAACTGAAGCCACGGGAGCAGAAGCAAGTGTTCAGCAGATTATTTAAATCAGAGCAAGATTTTCTCCAACAGGGTCTTTGAGCTACCCCTCCCAATCCTATTCCTAGAAATATCCTTGCTAACGTTGTTCCTAGCAGTAACTGTGCCTGTAGCTGCAAGCAAACATCCAAAGGATTTATTTTTTGTTTCACTTTTTAAGGTTGTGGGCATCCCACCTTCGAGTATTTTCAAAAAGAGCACACCCACCCCCCCCCGCACAGGAGCACATCAATATGCAAAGGTGTGGAAACAGCACTGAAGGAATGCGTTTTCCCTCTCTCCATCCCTTGGGCTGGTGTCACTCAATGTGTTGTGTCGGGGGTAGGGTCTCCCAGCCGGACTGGACAGTGCACTTCTGCTTACAATGATGTTCAAACTGGAGGACGCTGGGTTTGGTACATGGCAGTGGAGCATGGTTTAGGTTCTCAGAAGAAAATGCATGCCCAGGAGGGCGGAAAAAAAAAAAAAGAAGAGTGAAATGGGCTGTCAGGGCTCAGACAACCACACTGCAGCAACACCACAACTTATTGCCCAGCAGCCGAGCTGAGGTAACTGCTGCCACCAGCCTGGATGTACCCTCCAACTTTGATGAGAATGATATAACGTGTCTTGAGGGTACGTACACATGTGGTTTTAAAGCAGTTCTAACTCCTGGCTATGGAAGAAAACTCTACTTTGCTACTGTCCTTCAGCTGAAGTGCAGTAACAAACCACTTCAACTTTTTAAGAGGCAGATCTTGAAGGAAGAAGTTAGGTGGGTCACCCTGCATCATGTTTCCTCTGGGACAGATGCTTTGGCTCATCTGATCAACAAAAGCTCATTAAATTACAATTTGCTCTTGTTGCTGAGTCCTTAAAAAGGAGAAAGTCCCCAAATTCCTGCTCAGACCCCCAAATCCTACTCTTTTAGGGAGTCAGACGCTGCACTCCAGAGCTGGGCTCAGGAGGATGCATACCAGGATCTAAAAGACAAACGCTGTGCAGGGAAACCTGAGGGTCTGTGGACTATTCTGAGACATCTGTGAAAAGTAAGAAGGAAAAGGAAATATCTAGTTGGGGGCATATCCTAAACTCACTGTCTGAGGTCTGCATTGTCCCTGGAGTGTTACAAGTCTGACTGAAAAAGTATCGAGACTCATTGCCTGTTCAATCAACCAAGCCCCAAAGAACAGGACGGATGCTGATGTCAGATGGATTCAGATTAGGAAAAGTTTGTCCTTTTTTTTTCCCCCAACAAAATGGGTAATTAACCAACAAAACATTTGCCAAGGGCTCTGGGGGGTTCCCACTTCCCCAACTCTATGCAGAAGACAAGGTTGGCCACCAGCCTGTTGCCCAGGTCCCATGTCTGAGCAGTGGTGTCCTATGGGGCTGCGGGGGAAGCTGCCCCAGGACTTAGAGCACTGGGTGAGAGATGTGCATCCCAGTCCCTTCCAATCTACCACTTATCTCCACACTGGTCTACTGCCCAGCACTGCTGGGGAAGACATACATGGCTTGTGTCCTCCTGTGGTTGTCCTTCCACCCTCTCCTCCAAGAACTCGAGAGGCTCCATGGACTGGTTTCCTTCCAGACTATCTTCTGGGTGTGGTGGGGGCACAGCCAAGCTCTGCAGAGGGTGGTAGATGAACGACAACACAGTCTTGCTACTTACTAAAGTGGAATATGGAAAGCAAGACCCTTTTCTGGGCTCTGACACCGATTCACGCAGACATCCTTACCCTTTCTCTAACTTGGTTTTTCACATTGGTAAAATAGGGGCAAAACTCACAGAATTCAAGGATTTGCCCAATCAAGCTTTGAGAAACGTAACCACTTTGCATCTATTAAATCAGCACAAATGGAAAAGTAATTAAAAGTCACTGAACAGGCATTTACATACACTGCTGAGAGAAGTGGTTGTCCCTCTTGAGTCTCTCTCCTTCCTTCCTTCTTTGGATGTTTTCTCCAAGGACTCAGAAGGGTTTCCTTGGGGCTGGTACTCAGGTTCAGAACCACCAGCAGACGGACCCTGTGGAGATCAAAGAAAGTTACAGCTTTTTGTAAGTCAAGACATCATTCACAATACACTGCTTTATCAACTCTGCCATTTATTCCATAGCACACTCAGAGACAGCAAGACAATGCTGGAGAACCAAGGGGCCAAGACCTCTTTTGCTTCTTTCTTGGGAAGTGCCAACAAGGATGGGGTGGGGAAGACTGCAAGGAGCCGTGGTGGGATGGAGGGTTGCTTTGTCACCTTCACTCCCAACTCCCTGGTTGAAATCCAGCCTAGACAGGCTGGTCCAGATGAGCAGAGAGGTCTCCAACACTTTCTTCCAGATTGGGTTGGGCTCCCAAAGCCCAACAGAGACAGATTTGGTGTCTCTGTACCCCAAATCCCAGCATTGCTGGCCCCAGGATTGCTGGCACAACATCCAGTTTGGGTCTTTTGGTGCAAACACATCTACCAGTGAGCACTTTATCCTCTTTCAGGCCCCTAAAATGCTATCATTCAGGTTGCAATGATCTGGAAAAGCAACACGTCCCGCCTGAGATGACAGCAGGAGCCTGGAGCTGAGAGGCGATAAGCCTGTCTTACCCTGTCTAAGTGCCTGAGCAACTGGGTCATCACTGAACCAACCACAGAGGAAGATAAAATCATCAGGAGCTGGCTCCAAACGTCCCCACAGATTTTGTGCTCCAGTTAGAGGCATCTCCTAGAAGTGACCAACAAGGTTTTATGGAGAATGAGTCACTTCTCGGCTGCTGAAAAGAAGACTAGAAAAGCCTTGCTGCAGCTGCAGGCACTATTTCCTGGACTATCTCTTATCAGGACTGTCTAGTACAGGCAAATTATGATCCATGACTCCTCCAGCAGCTATGAGAGGTGACCTGGATACAGCTCTCTTATATTATTCCTGGAGATGTGCTGTACCACGTTGGAACTTGGGTCCAGTATGGAGATTAAGCCTTAACACTGCTAATAAATTCCTAATTCCCATAACCGCAAACTATCTGTTACTTGCAATTGCAAAGGATGCGGGTGACTACATTATCTCTAGCAATTAGCCTGGTTGCTCAAGCAAACGAGGGCTGTGGAGTCATGTGGACTCCTCTTGTGGGCAATCTCAATCCAACCTGACAGCAGGATCGGATCCATCCCTGCCAGGGCAGGAGAGATGCACCCAGATTACAGCCTCCAAGTAAGGAGAAGTTGCAAGGCAAGTTCAACAGATAACCAGCATGGGGATAGCTTGAAATCAGCCCAGTCTGTGCTGGCTTTTTGCTCAGAGGACAAGAAGGAGTTGTGGTTGGGTGGAAAGGAAGGGAGGATGAGGATCAGCAGGAGGCATCATTGGAGCGTGGACTGGGAGCTCACAGGCAGCCAGTACATATTTGATGTACAATCTCTTAATGTTATTGCTGCAGCAGACCAGGTAGAGAGGAGCACAGAACTACATAACTATACTTTGTCTGCTCTGCTGTTGATTTGCACCTTAAGGAGTCCTCCGGACACCGGCAACCTAAAGTGAGTCTCCACCTCCAGGCCCTGTGCTTCTTCTGTCACCTCAGTGCTGGCCAGGGCATCAGGAGAAGTATCAAACAGTGAATTCTGTAACATAAAAAAAAGTGGTTTGCTGTGGTGATGACAAACCTGAGCTCCCAGGATCCACACATGCGATGCGCTGGATCCTGATGGGTTATTTCTGCCCATTGCCCCATCCCTCCAGCATGCTCTGTCCCACCTGGTGGCCTTTCCGAACCAGGATGGAGTGAGTAGTCAGCAATTCCCTGCTGGCTACCTCCAAGCCTTCCTTCTAAGCTAGTCCCACCTCCCTGGGATCCCACTTGCTTTTCAGGGTCCCCTCATGATTGCTTCTCATGCTTTCAGCTGCTTTGCTCCCCTCGCACACCCACCACTCCAACAACCCCCAGCCCCCAAAGGGCACACAGAGGCTGATGGCTTTGGAGGATGGCTTCTAGCTACCTCCAGTAACAAGGGTTGACCGATTCCTTTATTTCCAGTGAATAAAGAGTGCTTTGCAATCCCATCAGTTTAGCCAAGATCCTGGTGTGAGCCATCAGCCTCTTCCACCTTAACTATTTCTTACAGTGGCTGCAAGTCACCGTAACCTGTTTGATGAGAGAGGTGACCCTGAAGCCTTCAATGATTCATTTTTGTCTCTCTCTCATTTCCTTCCAGGTCTGTCTGCCCCTTGAGGATGACAGATGACAACACTCACGCCATGGTCGGTGGCATGCAGAGCTGCCTGCTTTCTCCTGGAAGTCTTGCTTGTCTGGGAGCCACTCAGCTGCTGCACCAGCCCATCCAGCCCATCCCTCAGGAGCGCGTCGGAGAGGTCCTTCAGCAGTGTCAGCTGAAACCAGTGGAGACCATTAAGGCAGTAGCCCAGTGCCACCCTCCTGTTCCTGACACATGACAGTGCAAGTGCAGCCACCCCAAAAACAAGACTGATGCATTTCCAGTGGGGTTCACAGAGCACCTGGTGAAGCAATGTGTCCCGACAGCCAAAGGCTGATTTAAATACAGGTCCAAATATGGTTTGGACATCAAGGAGCTGATTGATGGTGCTTATGTGGTGGCTTTTCACATCCTAAATAAAACCTCTTCATTTGATCAGATCAGTCAGTCCTTCACCTCCCCCGATCACATCTCCAGAGCTTAGAGAAAGGAGCTGAAGGTAACAAGCACAACTCGAAGTACCTGCCTGGTAGATACTAAAAGCTGAGCCTTATCACACTTCATAAGCTTGATGGCAACCTTGAGAGTGGAGAGGGTGGCCACCAGTCTAGCACTGCGGTATTGCATGGTGATTATTCACTATTATTTCGAGCTACGGAACACCCCGAACTGGACTTTGTGCTAAACAGGACACACAGCATGGCCAGAGCACCCAGAGGGCTGTATGGGTCTCCTCTGGCTGGCTGTGCAGACCCAGTGCTGAAGTACAAGCCAACCCAGGTGGTAGCACCAAGCTCTGAACAGGTATTTGCCAAATCTCAATGTCACATGGGCCTCAAATCCACCATCTACCCCATAACACAGCAGCAAAACAGCTGTCCAAGAAGCATTTAAATATATATGGTAAGCTGTAAAAGGAAATGTAGTAATCCTGCCCTCTTATGAGTGCCACTGCCAGACCTGGGGGAGCACACATCGCCTCCAGAAGACCACAGGGAACAGATCATAGAATCATAGAATGGTTAGAGTTGGAAGGGACCTCAAAGATCATCTAGTTCCTACCCCCCTGCCACGGGCAGGGAGACCTCCCACTAGACCACATTGCTCAAAGCCCAATCCAACCTGGCCTTGAAGACCTCTAGGGATGAGGTATCTACATGGAAAAGGTTAATTACAATCACCTTATCAGAAGGATGGTCAAAGCATTACCTACCTTGATACCATTTGCTTCAAAAAGCCTCTCCAGATCCTGCAAGAGGAAACTAGGGTCAGAACTTCTCCTCCTCTCTCCTCCAGCCCAGGAAGATGGTCCTGCAGGTGGCTGATGGCTAAGCCTGGGGGCACACACTGGGTCCCCTCTGCCACCCCAACCCCAGATGGAGAGGGAGGTGTTTCCAACATTAATATGGTCTATAATTTTTATTTTATTTACCTTCATTTCCACTCCTTTGCCTGGTGGACCTGGTTCTCCCTTCAGATGAACAAAAACAACTCATTAATTAAGTCATTACCCCAATGAGCAGCAAGAAGATGAGCTCTGAGGAGGGGTGAGAGTCACATCTATGGCCCTTACTTTGCTACCAGCCCACGCTGTGACCCCCAGAAAAATCCCTGTCAGCTTAGAGAGGGGGTTTGAATCCCACCCTGCTCAACGGGGTCCTGTGCTCCTCCATTGGACACACGGCTGCATTTCATAGGTCAGGCCTGGACCAGATCCAGACATGAGCATTATCAAAGTGAGGTTTGAACTAGAGCTTTGCACCACCCTCTTCTCCATTTCTTGGCCACACACAAAATGTGAAAAAGCAAAGGTTTTTGAGGCCCCTTAATGCCAGCAATGCTGTAGCAGCTCTGCAGGGGTAGCAGCAAGGAGGAGGATGGCTAAGGTGCCCCCGTGGTTGGAGGTCCCTTCTGGAGGTGGCCATGGAGCTGGTGGCCCTCCCTACTGCCACATGCAGTCTGGGTCCAATATCTCCAATGGGCTGGACTCCTAACAGCAAGTCGCACGGATGGGCTGTCCATCTCTCCTTGCCTGGCATGGCGATGCTCTCCAGGTAGGTGATCTCGGGTGCCTGCCACAGATGAAACTACAGATGTGCTACAACGGCTTGGGAAGTCCAGCACTGGGGTGAGGAACATTTACTGAGGTAGGGGCTGAACTGCCTCTCTGACGGGCTTCATTTCACTGAAATCTGGTTTCTGTATTGACAGATTCCGGTGGAATGAAGGGCGCCAGGAAGGCCCCAACAGCGCTGCCTCTCTGTGCCAAGGTGTGCCAGGGTGAAGGAGCTGCAATGCGGGAGGTGCACTGGCTGAACTGGGTACCTCTGAGGCACAGCCTATGTGTGTCACCCAGAAAAGTCCTTTTCACAGACCTGGATCTCATGCCAATCAGGAGATCTACCTATACCTGCTGATGCTGCTTTCAGCAGCATTTTCCTCTCCATTAAGTGAAGGAGTTGGTCCCACCTCTAAAGATCCCTAGATGCGTGTGGTATCAGAAGCCATTTCTCCTTCCATCCCTTTCTGATATGCTTTTCAACTTGCAGGGGGTAGGAAAGGAAGGAAACATCCCTGATCATTTTAGAAATTTATTCCACCTGACTCCTGAATGACATCTTCCCACCTAAATGTTGTGTATCTGCTTAATTGAGTTGTAGGACTACAGCATCATTGTGACCACAAGTCTATGAGCCTATCTCAGAAACTCAGCTTTGAAAGCCCAAACTTTTTGGGGGTCAGAAGAGATCTGAGATGGGCATTCTTCCCCTCTGGCCAGCCCAGCACAATAGCACTAACACAAAGATGCCCCCATGCATTCAGGACATACCTTTGGGCCTGGAGGACCTCGTTCACCTTTCAAGCCATCCTTCCCGCGATCCCCCTGTAAGCCATCAGGAACATGTTAGTTCTTTGTCCCCTCTAAAATTCCCAGTGGAGGTGATGGTTTCATCATGCATTGTGGCATTTCTCCTGTGCTGGCGCATGCTGGCCCCAGACTATCAACTTCTTTTCCAGATGGACCAACCTAGTTTTCTTGTAACGATCTCACTGATTCACATAGTTGTTAAATTTGGAGTAACTCTGCTCTTCACTTGAAACATGCTGTGTCTGGTTCAGACCTAAAGATGGGCTCATGTTCTGAGGGCTTTTTTGCTTTTCCTTTTTCCCCTGCTACCCCACCTGGGCTAATAATGGTATTACCTCTCCTTGAAAACCAAGTTTTGCCTCTATTTCCCTGCCATCGCAGCTTGGCTGAGGAAGCAACAGCACTTCTTTAGTAAATCCTGGGACTGGATACTTTAAGTGGGGTCTGGGGAGGCAACAGACCCACGGTGATAATTCTTGCAGCTCTTGTTCTCACACAGTCCATCGTGTGCCTTGCCCATGACTCAGGACTCATGAGTCCTGCAGGCAAATCGCAAAACCGGCAGGGCAAGCCCAGGTCTGCCCAAAAAGGACCCATCTAGATACACACTCTGCACCTCTCTGAATGAGCCTTTTCTCCCAGCACAGCAAAATGTAGTAGAAATTGATGCTGCCGCTGGTCTGCCTCCTCCACGTCTGCCTTGTGTCCTTCCCTGTGTCCAGCCGCAAGTTGCACAAAATAAATGGCCAACTCACAAACCTTTTTTAAACTGAAGGAGAGGGAGAAGGCAATTGAATACATTTTTCATCTTATTGCGATCTTTAATGACTCAAATTACTCCATGACTCCACCTCTGTTCCTGCATTAGGTTGGATCTGGTGCTGCATGTGGCACTCTGGTTTGCATGCAGCCAAAGCTGCATGCAAAGAATGTCGGGGTGCTGATTGATGAGAAGCTCAACATGAGCCGGCGATGTGCAATCGCAGCCCAGAAGGCCAACCGTATCCTGGGCTGCATCAGAAGTGTGGCCAGCAGGGCGAGGGAGGGGATTCTGCCCCTCTACTCTGCTCTGGTGAGACCCCACCTGGAGTACTGTGTCCAGCTCTGAAGCTACCAACATAGGAAAGATATGAACCTGTTGGAGCAGGGCCAGAGGAGGGCCCTGGAGATGCTGCGAGGGCTGGAGCCCCTCTGCTGGGAGGACAGGCTGGGAGAGTTGGGGCTGTTCAGCCTGGAGAAGAGAAGGCTCCAGGGAGACCTTATTGTGGCGTTCCAGTCCCTAAAGGGGCTACAGGAGAGCTGGGGAGGGACTTTTTACAAGGGCCTGTAGTGATAGGATGAGGGGGAATGGCTTCAAACTGGAAGAGGGCAGGGTTAGATTAGATATTAGGAAGAAATTTTTCACTCTGAGGGTGGTGAGGCACTGGCTCAGGTTGCCCAGAGAAGCTGTGGCTGCCCCATCCCTGGAGGTGTTCAAGGCCAGGTTGGATGGGGCTTGGAGCAACCTGGGCTGGTGGGAGGTGTCCCTGCCCATGGCAGGTGGCTGGAACTTGATGATCTTCAAGGTCCCTTCCAACCTAAACCATTCCATGATTCTATGAATTCTTTGCTATTTGCTTTGCTAAACTACTTGGGCATCCCTCAGATAGAATTTAGGCAGATCCACATGAAGTCATGAGGGCCTTGGTAATATTGTGAGTGATCATTTTCACAGGGCTGAAAAAGGATGGAGTGAATCCGTCTCTGCTTTTCCTACCACTGCAATTTCCACCTGTGCTGGATCCATGCTACCGCGATCCATCTGAGCGCTGGCACTAAATAAAACCTCTTCCAAACCTACCCCTACCCCTGTCTGCTACATTTGCAGACTTTGACTTATAAACATAATGAAGCTACAAAATACACAGCACATGCAAAATAATCACATATTTTGCTTCAACACACACCTCCAGCAAGGAGGAGATCTTACCTTGTCACCTTTCAGAGCGATGGTGCTCTCCAGATAAGACATCTGCAAAAGGAAGAAACCTTGCTCACAAAGTGAAGGATGATGTCTTTGATACAAGCTCTGACCTCCACGTGCCTTTTATCCCCATTAGCCCTTATCCACGAGCACAGAGCCCCCTGCTTCCTCCCAAATCAGCCAGCAATCTGAACCCGCTATGTTTTGACTCAAGCCAACAGGGAGCTGGTGCTGCATCTTTGCTTACACAGGTAAGAGACTCAGGGTGGCTGTGATGTTGGTGTCAACATCTGCATTTCTAATGAAGGCCCTCTCAGAGGGAACTGGGCTCACAGAGACACCA